TTTACAGTGGCACACCGCTTTGAAGTGACTCCTGAAGTATTTTGAGTTAGTTGATACTCTGTTTTGCATGGCTGCGTCTAACTGGATTAAAAGTGTAACACCCTTAAATAAGAGTGTTTAGAGTCGTAGAGCGGCGTGGCCTCGCAGCCACCAGACGCCAGCCTATCTTATTATAAGGAGTGTTTATGCTACAGACAGGGGTTGTGTTACACTGCTGTGTGTAGTGGTGCGGTGCCTTGTATAAATGTCATCTGCCATGGGTGTATGCGTTCCTAATGGTCAGGTCCAATTAACAACCTGGCAGAGTCCTGCTGTTTAGTCCAGCCTCTTCTCCTCCTCCTCCTCCTGCACCCTCCCTCTCTCCACCCACCCTCCCTCTCTCCACCCACCCTCCCTCCCTCTCTCCACCCACCCTCCCTCTCTTCACCCACCCTCTCTCCCTCTCTCCACCCACCCACCCTCCCTCTCTCCACCCACCCTCCCTCCCTCTCTCCACCCCCCTCTCCCTCCGCTCCACCCATCCACCCTCCCTCTCCCACCCACCCCCCCTCCCTCCTCCACCCACCCACCTCCACCTCTCCACCCCCCCCCTCCCTCCGCTCCCTCTCTCCACCCCCTCCTCCCTCTCCACCCCCCTCCCCTCTTCCTCTACCTCCTCCCTCTCCCTCCCCCTTCCCTCTCTCCCCACCCCCCCCCCCTCTCCACCCCATCCCCTCCCCTCTCCCCCCCCACCCTCCCCCCCACCCCCACCACCCTCCCTCTCTCCAACCCCCCTCTCTCTCCACCCTCTCCTCTCTCTCTCTCCACCCTCCCTCCCTACTGTATCTCTCCTCCACCCTCTGTCTGTCTCTCTCCTTCGGAGGACAGCACCTGCAGTATTAGCATGCAGCTATTGGCAGTCACCATGCAACGCTACCAGCACAGAGGTCAGGCAAACAAACACAATATTAGCACAACATTATTAATTAATTAATTATTAATTATTATTTATGTTATTAACATGTCCTAATGCTAGCAGCTCAGTTAGCCACCGTGCACTGTCAAACAGATGTGGTGTGATGGGCGACGGCCTTGTTAATGAATGTAATTAAGTGTGTTGAAAGCGAGGTGAGATGACACTTCACACAACGTATAGGTGTACTTGCCTCTTTAAAGCCACCAGTTGTTCCATATTTAATGTGACTGCCATCTGGTACATGTGCGTTGTTGACTAAATAGTCTGATGTTTTTTAGTGGATCTATTTAATAATCCTACACCCGTCTGCCCTCCATACTCAAATCACTTTTCTTTTGACTGACTGCTTTTATGACTTTTTTGAAGTTTATTACGACGTCTACTCAGCTATAAAATTGTTTGCATCTTCTAACAAACACATGACTCACAGATGCTCTAAATTACTAACAATGATATAAATGTGCAGTCGTAAAAAGTGGCAAAACTAGTGTTCTAAAAATATCACTAGCTACTAACGACCAAGGTTACCTTCGCTACTGCATCACAGAGTGCTATAGGCAAAGTTGTGTGTTGATCGCACTGAAATAAATGGTTTTATTTATAGCTAGTGTTAGTAGCCTAGTATCATAGAGGCAATGACACTGAAACAAACATGAAAACCTCACAACAACAGACATCTCGATTAACAATGTGATTCAATACACGTCATTGAGAAGTCACCTGTGTGCATTGCAAACATTGATGGCATATCAGTGAGATTATTGGATCATTACTGGGCTCATTAATATGTGTGTGTGTGAGAGAGAGTGTGAGCGCACGTGTGCAGGTGTCTGTGTGTGTGTGTGTGTGTGTGTGTGTGTGTGTGTGTGCTCGTGTGTGTGTGTGGACGTGTTTAACTATACTTGTGGGGTCCAGAAGTCCCCAGGAATAAACGAACAAACATTTGATCAACTGGGGACATTTTGTTAGTCCCCACAAGGTCAAATGCTATTTCTAGGGGGAATAGGGTTAAGGTTAGAATTAGTGTTAAGGTTAGAATTAACCTAGAATTAACCCGAGTGGCGCAGTGGTCTAAGGCACTGCATCGCAGTGCTAGCTGTGCCGCTAGAGATCCTGGTTCGAATCCAGGCTCTGTCGTAGCCAGCCGCGACCGGGAGACCCATGGGGCGGCGCACAAGTCGTCCAGGGTAGGGGAGGGAATGGCCGGCAGGGATGTAGCTCAGTTGGTAGAGCATGGCGTTTGCAACGCCAGGGTTGTGGGTTCGATTCCCACGGGGGGCCAGTATGAAAAAATAAATTTAAAAAATGTAATAATGTATGCACTCACTAACTGTAAGGGTAAGAGTACGGGTTGGGGAAAATGGGATTGAATTTTGTGTCCCTACAAGGTTAGTTGTACAAGACTGTGTGTGTGTGTTTCCTGTGTCTTTAGTTGGATAGATGGATAAACAGCTTTTCTGTATAGCCCTGAGAGAATAAGAAAATCGTTGTTGTTGATGAAACCTCTCAATGGAAACCCATTACTTTTATCCCACAATGTCTTAATTAAACAGCCCTTATCTGCTCCCTTACAACAAGGGCCCATCGTTTAAATATTTATTGTGCTTTTAAATTATTTATCACCTGTATCGGCTTATCTTATTTTAAAACTCTCCTGAGCATGGTTGGAAAATTTGAAACTGCGCTATGGGTAAATCATGCAAATGTCTTTTGGATGAAACGGCCTCAGGGTTTAATGTGCTAGCTACCAGTCTTGATATTAAGGGCTAGACAGCTAGCTAGCATCAAAGGAGGATGTTTAGAAACCATAAATGTGTTATTTTATGTTTTACGACTGAAGAGTAGATTTAAAGGCAACTTTAAAGGATACTTCAGGGTTTCCTTAATGCTCTTCTCTTTTGCTTCCCATTTTCTCATTAGCCATTTTGACCCCACATACTCATAGTATTATTGTATATCCCAAGTGTTGAACAGAAAGCTGCTCAAATAGTTAGTAACTGAAGTGATCATGCTAACTGTTATTAATGTACTACTGTATTTTCATTACGCTGTTTGTACACCGTATATTTATTTATAGACTGGATTCGTAGCTCACTCTAATATATCTACTGCTGTACATATCATTCTTAGTATATATCGTGTAAATTCTCCCTGTGTAGATATGTATAGATTGCATTTTGATACTGCTACAGTGCTATTTGGGTTGTTAGTTGGATTCGTACCGCCGTTGTGAATTTCTTCCGTTTTGTTATTATAATATTTTTTTTTACATTTTAGCTGTTTGATATTTGACTGCATTGTTAGGAGCTAGTAACCAATACACTTTGATTTGATTTGAACAGGTTTTTAATTTGCAACACACACATCCGTTATCCATTATGCATGTTTTATATTTATGTATTCTATCTGAATAGGAAGGAATGGGTTTGTTTTGAACGGCTAAAGATAAGTTCACAGGTCTGAGAGTTGACCTTTACCTCTTGTTTGCAAAAGGACAGCCACAGTATGCCAACTGGTTTCTAACTGCACCGATCCTAATCTCTTTGAAAAGGTCAGTGTCTAATACTCAACCTAGCAAAACAGTTGCTCACCAAAAAAAATCTTAAGGCTCTTTGTCGACTAGGCCCAGTCTGAAAATAGCCAAATAGCCAACATGGATGCTTTTTAGTTTCACTTGGCATTGTTGAGAGTACAAAACTTTCTGAGTTAGCTTTTCCTGTTGTGTGCAGTGAAAGATCCATAGTGTCTAGTGGTTGAGTCAGCTGTTTTCTGGGAGGGTTGATGCTGTGTATAATGCATATCAGACCGCATGCTTTCCTCAGATCTTACATGGTCTGCTAGAGGGCCCAGCATGGCTAACGTGCATTTGTCTCTCACACCAACACAGAACAGAAACAGGTTCCATGATTTTACACAAACACATAACTCGGATCGAAGTCAATTTGTTTTCCTGCCACTTATAGTAAGTACAACGCTGTATAGTGTTGATTTAAAACAGGATCTCAGCACATTGTTGGCATTGGCTTTGCGATTATTACAGACTGCCCAATTAATTTGTATTCAAGTGGATTAATATGGTTATCCTGAATAACAAGTGACATGCTTTATTCAAGACCTGGATTAAATGTGGCTCTATTCATTCATTGAATATTTTCTGTGGGTTTTGACAATTTTTCAGTGTTGCAGACGTGATTCCATCCCTCGCATTATCTTCCCAGTACACTTCAGAAGATCAAATGATGTGATATAATACGAAGATCAAATTAAGATATGTGAATTGGTTTTCATCATGAAGTTAAGTTGTCATCTTAAAAAAAATATATATATATTTGCCTCAGTTTGTTGCATTTTTATAACAGTCAGTCCCTGTGACATCATGTAAGAACCAAAGGTAGCCACTCATCCACATGCATTTTGAATTGATACTGTACATGTGATGCAGATTTTTTTATTCACTATTGCACATTCCCTAGACTGACTACCAACACTCTGAGGAAAAAAAAACTGAAAACACAAACATTCCATTACAATTCCTCAAGAAATATATATACTGTAAATTGAGGCTTAGCTACATTTCCTACACTTATTACGAAGTGCCACAGCCTGCACTCCATGCTCCAGATTCTAGGTACACCACGGCGATACAGAGAGCGTACAGGGGAACGGGGTTAGCTGTGATACAGGCATTGCTCTGTGGACCTCATTAATCTCTCACACTTAACCGTCTGCTGTCTGCTTATGTGGAGCGGCCATTACAGCCGTGTCAGAGCCAGGGGAATGGATGAGCATCCTCTGTGTTATCCGTGCAAACAGCAGCGCTCGCCACTCACTTGGCAGCTAGGAGGGGCTGATTGGGAAATGTCAGGGGGGATTACAGGGGTAAAATGAGCTACTGAGAGCCCGCTTGGGGTTTGTGTTATGCATGGTGTGTGTCGTTTAAATGTGACTCGTCTCGCACACTGCCACCCTAGGAATCCAATTGCCTCATAACGGGAGGAGAAAAGGCATTACAGCTCAACTCTCTGTAATATCCTCCTTCCTTCAGAGAGAGGCTGGTGCTGTGGGGATGATATCCTCCCTTCAGACAGAGGCTGGTGCTGTGGGGATGATACCCTTCCTTCAGAGAGAGGCTGGTGCTGTGGGGATGATATCCTTCCTTCAGAGAGAGGCTGGTGCTGTGGGGATGATATCCTCCCTTCAGACAGAGGCTGGTGCTGTGGGGATGATATCCTCCCTTCAGAGAGAGGCTGGTACTGTGGGGATGATACCCTTCCTTCAGAGAGAGGCTGGTGCTGTGGGGATGATATCCTTCCTTCAGAGAGAGGCTGGTGCTGTGGGGATGATATCCTCCCTTCAGACAGAGGCTGGTGCTGTGGGGATGATATCCTCCCTTCAGAGAGAGGCTGGTGCTGTGGGGATGATACCCTTCCTTCAGAGAGAGGCTGGTGCTGTGGGGATGATATCCTTCCTTCAGACAGAGGCTGGTGATGTGGGGATGATACCCTTCCTTCAGAGAGAGGCTGGTGCTGTGGGGATGATATCCTCCCTTCAGACAGAGGATGGTGCTGTGGGGATGATACCCTTCCTTCAGAGAGAGGCTGGTGCTGTGGGGATGATATCCTTCCTTCAGAGAGAGGCTGGTGCTGTGGGATGATACCCTCCCGTTAGAGAGAGGCTGGTGCTGTGGGGATGATATCCTTCCTTCAGAGAGAGGCTGGTGCTGTGGGGATGATATCCTCCCTTCAGAGAGAGGCTGGTGCTGTGGGATGATATCCTCCATTCAGAGAGAGGCTGGTGCTGTGGGGATGATATCCTCCCTTCAGAGAGAGGATGGTGCTGTGGGGATGATATCCTTCCTTCAGAGAGACGCTGGTGCTGTGGGGATGATATCCTTCCTTCAGAGAGAGGCTGGTGCTGTGGGGATGATACCCTTCCTTCAGAGAGAGGCTGGTGCTGTGGGGATGATATCCTCCCTTCAGAGAGAGGCTGGTGCTGTGGGGATGATACCCTCCCTTCAGAGAGAGGCTGGTGCTGTGGGGATGATACCCTTCCTTCAGAGAGAGGCTGGTGCTGTGGGGATGATATCCTTCTTCCTTCAGAGAGAGGCTGGTGCTGTGGGATGATATCCTTCTTTCAGAGAGAGGCTGGTGCTGTGGGATGATATCCTCCCTTCAGAGAGAGGCTGGTGCTGTGGGGATGATATCCTCCTTCCTTCAGAGAGAGGCTGGTGCTGTGTGGATGATATCCTCCTTCCTTCAGAAAGAAGCTGGTGCTGTGGGATGATATCCTCCATTCAGAGAGAGGCTGGTGCTGTGGGGATGATATCCTTCCTTCAGAAAGAAGCTGGTGCTGTGGGGATGATATCCTTCCTTCAGAAAGAAGCTGGTGCTGTGGGGATGATATCCTTCCTTCAGAAAGAAGCTGGTGCTGTGGGGATGATATCCTTCCTTCAGAAAGAAGCTGGTGCTGTGGGGATGATATCCTCCCGTCAGAGAGAGGCTGGTACAGTTGGGATGATATCCTTCCTTCAGAGAGAGGCTGTGGGCAATGTTCCCTAAAATGTTTTGGGGCACTGAGCAAATGCATGGTGTTGTGAGCGGAAACTTGAACGTTGTGAGAATTTTGTGCAACTTCCGGCGCGTTTACAGTTAACACTGAGGCTGTACCCTTACAGTTTTAGACAGTAGCCAATAGGTTATTGTGGCTATTTGAGCATAATGTAGGCCTACCAACAAAACCAATGGAGTGAATCCCATAACATTTTCACAATGAAATAACTTTTGATTTCTATGATATAGCCTACAGTAGCCTATATGTGGTGTTCAATGCAGGCCTAAATTGAATGAGACTTTTAAAAAAGTTTTTACATTTTGAAGGGCTTGATATTAATTAATTATTGTTTACTTATGGTCTGTAACACCATGGGCCAAATAGGTGACTGTGAATTGCATTGTATTGTGTTCTATGATGCAAGAAACCACTTTACAAAATAAAATGAATTATTATTACAATACAGAGAATTAAACAATATAGGCTACCCATCTGCTTATTAGCTTATTTGCATATTCAAGACTGTCTCAAAATACAACACTGGCTTTTGAAAGACAGCTTGAAATGTAGCCTACACGTTTTGTTCTCTTGTAGGAATCAGCAACTCCCCATTGCTGACCTATACTCTTCTATGGCTGGGCTAATAACTCGCTAACTAGCAAAGAATATCAACAAATGTGCACATGCGCGGCTCTGATCTAAACTGATCTGAAAAGCGCATTCACTCGAGGGTGACCGCTCGTGGGCTACACCCGCCAATAGAATTCTACTCTATTGCGCTCTGGCTCTGCCTACATCAAAATCACAGACTCAATCTTGCAAAGTTAGATTTGTTTTGGGTTGTTGCATTGAAAGGGGCTGATATAATGTTGATTCGATCACAGAGAAAACGTTGATCTCTATAGTGCAAACTAATGTCGCGAACTCAGTGAAATTCAATCTCTTGCGTCTCTGCATGGCATGGCACTTCTTCTGCACGGCAGTCCTGGAGGGGACATTGGGATGATATCCTCCCTTCAGAGAGAGGCTGGTGCTGTGGGGATGATACCCTTCCTTCAGAGAGAGGCTGGTGCTGTGGGGATGATATCCTCCCTTCAGAGAGAGGCTGGTGCTGTGGGGATGATATCCTTCCTTCAGAGAGAGGCTGGTGCTGTGGGGATGATACCCTTCCTTCAGAGAGAGGCTGGTGCTGTGGGGATGATACCCTCCCTTCAGAGAGAGGCTGGTGCTGTGGGGATGATACCCTTCCTTCAGAGAGAGGCTTGGGAATCTGGGGATGTGGGAGGTGGAACACTCTCCCTCCATGCATGCTGCAGGAGGATGTGTGTGTGTGTGTGTGTGTGTGTGTGTGTGTATGTGTGGAGGATAGAGGTTTGTGTGTGTGTGTCAGTGTGTATGTCTCAGCGTGTCGTTGTGTGTGTCATAGGTGTGTGTGTAGGGGAGGGTTAGTGTTTGTGACATGCACACCGTGTCATGAAATATGTGGCAGGCAGCTCACGTGTTGTCGTGGTGACCTTGAGGGAGGGAGGCAGACACAGGAAGGTGTGAGAATGGGGACAGGTGGGGACTAGAGATGAGGCAGTATAACTGTGAACCAACCGTCAGCCCAGCTACCAAAGTTAAGAACAACAACCCATCCTCCTCAGAATTACAATCTCAGCTCCTGACTATAGAACGGTATTGGGTAGCATGCAGGTCAAAGCAATATTCTTCAGCCCAGCCGTATTACCATACCAGATGTGTATGTATTCCTCTGGCACATTGGTACTGTTGGCATGCAGCTCATGGCTAGCAAACAGACCACAGAAACAGAACATACTTGTTTATGAAGTACTGGATGGCCTAATTGTCACTCTGTCATTGACGACATTCGCAGCCTTGACGACAGTATTCAGATTTACAGAAGAGTAATCTCATTTACCAATAAAGAACAAAATAAGTATAATGAATTAACTGTCCTTGGGGGATGTGGTATACCACTATGTATTAACAAAGCCATATGTTGTTGGGGTCACCAAGGGCTAGGAATGCATCGCGTTTTTTCATTTCCATATTCTATTGCCATTTATGATTTAGCTTGTGAAAAGATTACACATTGATGCAAATCATACCAAATTATGTAGGTGTCCTTAGTTCACACCAGTCACCCTGTAAGACTCTCTATGCCCCATTTTACTAAATCTCCCAACCGTTTCATACCTAACACACTGTAGGCTCATAGACAACATTATTTCTCATTCTCTGACCGTCTAACCAACCCTCAGTGGAGTGCTTCCCTCCCTCCCAGCTGTTTCATATTTTACTGATCGCCTTATGACTGTGTAATCTGCCACACAGTTGCTTTCAAATAAAATCAAATAAAATCACATTTTATTGGTCACATACACATATTTAGCAGATGTTATTGCGGGTGTAGTGAAATGCTTGTGTTCCTAGCTCCACCAGTGCAGTAATATAACAACAATACACAAAATCTAAAGTAAAAGAATGGAATTAAGAAATATATAAATATTAGGACGAGTCCGGCGTATAAAAATATATACACTGTAAATATACATATGTATATGTGATGGGATGTATAGACATTATGGACAGTATGTGGATAGAATATTTAGTATATCTGTAGAATACGTAGGATAGAATAGTATATATACACTACCGTTCAAAGGTTTGGGGTCACTTAGAAATGTCCTTGTTTTCGAAAGAAAAGCTATTTGTTTGTCCATTAAAATAACATCAAATTGATCAGAAATACAGTGCAGACATTGTTAATGTTGTAAATGGCTATTGTAGCTGGAAACGGCTGATTTTTAATGGAATATCTACATAGGCGTACAGAGGCCCATTATCAGCAACCATCAGCCCTGTGTTCCAATGGCACGTTGTGTTTACTAATCCAAGTTTATCATTTTAAAAGGCTAATTGATCATTAGAAAACCCTTTTGCAATTATGTTAGCAGAGCTGAAAACTGTTGTGCTGATTAAAGAAGCAATAAAACTGGCCTTCTTGAGACTAGTTGAGTATCTGGAGCATCATCAATTGTGGGTTCGATTACAGGCTCAAAATGGCCAGAAACAAAGAGCTTTGTTCTGAAACTCGTCAGTCTATTGTTGTTCTGAGAAATGAAGGCTATTCTAGTCTCAACACCAGTCTCAATGTCAACAGTGAAGAGGCGACTCCGGGATGCTGACCTTCTAGGCAGAGTTGCAAAGAAAAAGCAATTTCTCAGACTGCCCATTTTAATCTTTTCTTTTTATTGGCCAGTCTGGGATATGGCTTTTTCTTTGCAACTCTGCCTAGAAGGTCAGCATCCCGGAATCGCCTCTTCACTGTTGACGTTGAGAATGATGTTTTGCGGTTACTATTTAATGAAGCTGCCAGTTGAGGCGTCTGTTTCTCAAACTAGACACTCTAATGTATTTGTCGTCTTGCTCAGTTGTGCATCGGGGCCTCCCACTCCTCTTTCTATTCTGGTTAGAGCCAGTTTGCGCTGTTCTGTGAAGGGAGTAGTACACAGCGTTGTACGAGATCTTCAGTTTCTTGGCAATTTCTCACATGAAATAAACATTATTACATTGACCAGTATTCCATTATTAAAGTGACCTGTGATTCCATGTCTATGTACATAGGGCAGCAGCCTCTAAGGTGCAGGGTTGAGGAACCGGCTGGTAGCCGGCTAGTGAGTGTGACTAAGTTCAGGGCAGGGTACTGGGTGGAGGCTGGCTAGTGGTGACTATTTAACAGTCTGATGGCCTGGAGATAGAAGATAGATAGAAGCTGTTTTTCAGTATCTCGGTCCCAGCTTTGATGCACCTGTACTGACCTCGCCTTCTGGATGATAGCAGGGTGAACAGGCCGTGGTTCGGGTGGTTGATGTCCTTTATGATCTTCTTGGCCTTCCTGTGAGATCGGGTGCTGTAGGTGTCCTGGAGGGCAGGCAGTGTGCCCCCGGTGATGCGTTGGGCAGACCACACCACCCTCTGGGGAGCCCTGCGGTTGCGGGCGGTGCAGTTGCCCTACCAGGCGGTGATACAGCCCAGCAGGATGCTCTCAATGGTGCATCTGTAAAAGTTTCTCAGGGGACAAGCCAAATTTCGTCAGCCTCCTGATGTTGAAGAGGCACTGTTGCGCCTTCTTCACCACACTGTCTGTGTGGGTGAACCATTTCAGATTGTCAGTGATGTGTACACCTTCGCCACTGCGGCCCCGTCGATGTGGATGGGGGCGTGCTCCCTCTGCTGTCTCCTGAAGTCCACGATCAGCTCCTTCATTTTGTTGACATTTGGTTGACGTGGAGGGAGAGGTTATTTTCCTGGCACCACTCCGCCAGGGCCCTCACCTCCTCCCTGTAGGCTGTGTCACCATTGTTGGTAATCAGGCCTACTAATGTTGTGTCATCTGCAAACTTGATGATTGAGTTCATGGGTGAACAGGGAGTACAGGAGGGGGCTGAGCACGCACCCTGGTGGGACATCCACATACTGTTTGTGATGTGATTCACATCAACTATTCTGTCTATTCTAACTCCTCTGTCTATAAGTGGGTGTTTTTGCTGCTTTTCTCTTCCAACTACAGTACTTAAAATCAAATCAAACCAAATTGAATTGGTCACATACACATATTTCAGATAAAGCTTTAAGTCTGAGAACGGGTAGTAAAACACAAGGGTGGCCAACTCCATTCCTCAAGGACCACAGTCCTGCTGTTGATTATTCCTCCCTGGCACTCTATTGGTTCTAATGGTTCTTAATTAGCCAGAAATTTCACACATCTGTTTTCCCAAGATTAAGCGAGTTGCTGATTTAAATGGCAAAATATGAAAACACCGCGTTTCTGGCCCTCAAGGACCTCAAGAGGTTGTGCACCCTTTCCCTCTATGGTATTAGTATGAACAGCAGTGTGATATTGGAATGTGGATTATACTGCAGTCTACATAGAGCTGGGAGAGATCATTAGCTAGCATGTGGCTTGGCAGAATGGGGTAATGTTTGTATTATATTGTAGCACTATTCAGTATGTCTCCATTAGTGTTCCCACTGGTGTGTCATTGATAGTGTGTGTTTGTGTGTGTGATGAGGTGATGTTGAAGGAGTCAGGTGCAGGAGGGTAAATCACAGAATAACAGGCTTTATTCCGCAACCACAGAGTTACGCAGTAACGCGTCAAAACACTCCAGTGCGCAGAACAGGCACACTGGAAAATACAAGGCACACGGGGAAATATCCCGGCGATACAAAATACAAGGAGCTCCACCGAGCTTCACTACAAAGACAAGGGGGCAGAGGGAACACTTATACAGGTACTGATGAGGGGATATGAACCAGGTGTGTGAAATAAACAAGACAAAACCAATGGAATGATGAGATGAGGAGTGGCAGTGGCTAGAAGGCCGGTGACGATGAACGCCAAAGCCTGCCCGAACAAGGAGAGGAGGCAGCTTCGGAGGAAGTCGTCTCCTCCGCATGCTGAAACCAGTCATCCACCACAGGAGCTTCGGTCTGGCTCTGATGCCACGGTGCCAGAACCAGCTGATAACCTAAAACACATTGAAATGGCGATAGCTTAGTGGAGGAGTGGCAGAGAGAATTCTGGGCATATTCGGCACATGGCAAGAACACTGACCACTCCCCCAGCAGGAACCTACCCACATCTTGATTCACCCGTTCCACCTACCCATTAGACTCGGGGTGAAACCCAGAGGTCAGGCTGACCGAGACCCCCAGACGTTCCATGAACGCCTTCCAGACCCTGGATGTGAACTGGGGACTCTGGTCAGACACTATGTCCTCTGGCACCCCGTAGTGCCAGAAGACATGAGTAAACAGGGCCTCCACAGTCAGCAGGGCCGTCGGGAGACCGGGCAGAGGAAGGAGGCGGCAGGCTTTTGAAAAGCGGTCCACAACGACCAGGATGGTGGTGTTATCCTGAGAGAGGGGAAGATCATTGAGAAAGTCAATACACAGGTGGGACCATGGCCGTTGTGGAACTGGTAAGGGCTGTAACTTACCCACTGGGAGGTGCCTAGGTGCACCGAGCAGGAGGAGACACCCTCACGTCCTTAGCCAAGGTAGGCCACCAGTACTTTCCAGTCAGGCAGCGCACTCTACGGCCGATACCTGGGTGACCAGAGGGGAGGGACGTGTGTGCCCAATAGATTAGATGGTCACGGACAAGGGATGGCACGGACTGCAGCCCAGCTGGACACTGATGTGGAGATGGCTCTGCGCGTAACGCCCACTCTATGTCCGCGTCCATCGCCCATACTACCGGCGCCTCAATGCAG